ACTGTACCATACAAATGAAATAAATAGCAGCATTACTGTCAAAGATTACGAATGATTTGCCTCCAGTTCCGCACTAAAATTAAAACACTACTATATATTTTAGGCTCAAGTAATAAGCCGTACATATGGAATAAGAATAACCAGTAAAGAAATGACAAGTAACCCCCAAATAGAAACAATACCAAAATAAATTTTTACCAGACATGACAACCATAAATGTACTGGTATATTATGTTATCATCACACTGAAAGTCAAAACTTACCAGATTCATTCCTGCGATCATGAGAAAAAGGAGCAATTCCTCCTGCTGTGTGTTGCGACGCCAACTCAGCATACAGCAGGTGACACATAGGCTGCTTTGCTGATGTCCAAGTCAGGTGCACCTCCAGGCCGATCTTCCTGCAACAAACCAAAGACGCAATTTTATAGTCGAAGAAACAGGATGCAAAAGAGGCAGGAAGCACTTAATTTCGACAGAGGAGGTCAAAGGCGACTCTCCTAGACCAATTCCAATCATTTCCAGCGATTTTTATTTTTTTCATTTTTGGCAAAATCTACAAAGGCTTATAGCCTTTGTGTTTTTAGCGAAAATTGATGGGTGAGGATTTCGACGGAAAAGAAGTCGATTCGGCAAGGGTGACCCAGAGGACCACAAAACTACTTTTGATCAATTCAGAAACCACCCCTGTCCAGAGAAACTTGAGTTTTAAAGGTGGTCTTTTGAATCTAGCGGTCAGCGTACGATGGGCTGCCTACCTCGCAGGCGAACTGGTCCGAGAACAGGCGTATCTCACTGAAAATGCCCCGGCGGCGTGAAACTTTCGACGTTAGAGATTGAAAGAGGATTCAGTCTGACAGATCCCGACTATTTCCAGCGATTTTAATTTTTCAGGGGACCACAAAACTACCTTTGGTTCCGTCAGATACCACCCCTGGTGGGCAGCGTAAGATGGGCTGCCTACCTCGCAGGCGAACCGGTTCAAGAAAAACAGGTGTAACTCACTTGAAATGGACCGGCGGCGTGAAACTTCGACGCAGAGATTGAAAGGACCAATCCCAACCATTTCCAGCGATTTTCAAATTTTTCATTTTTGGCAAAATTTACAAAGGCATGAGTCCGGTTTTTGACGGAGGAGTACTCGAATAGATAGGGGTGAACCGGGCACCACGAAACTACCTTTGTTTCTGTCAGAAACCACCCCTGTCCACAGCAACTTGAGTTTTATAAGAGCTGGTCTCTCTAACTAAGGGATGTAGGCTACCTAGGGCGCACTGGCTAAGATCTCTGCTGTAGTGGGTCGGCACCACGATATTTAGACCGATTTAGACAGAGCATGTGAAAAGGGAGTCTGCCCCACCAATCCAAACCAATTCCAGCAATTTTCCAAATTGCCAAGATTTTTAAAAGACATTTTCAGTGATAACAAATCAGCCTGGATTTGGACAGAGGATTGAAATCGACAACAAAGAACCAGGGCACCACAAAAAACATCAAATACCACCCCTTTGATGCACACGAAAGGAAGCTCCTCTTAGTGGAGACAAATTTGGACCAGGGTTGGCGGTTACTGTCATGTCAACTCACCTATTCTTTTGGGTAAAATGACTCCATAGACTTCTCTTGCTCATGTCAAGAACATTTCTGGGCCAAGTTCCTGCAATCATATTAAACGGTACTTTTAGCGCTCATCAACTTTTAATTACATATAATTAAATCATACAATACACTTTTAAATGCCTCTTCCCCCATGCGTCTCTAAATGACTATGCTCTTTCAAATAACTAATTTTGGAACTCGACTAAGCATTATAAGTACGAAGGGGCAGCTGCAAATTATCTGCAACGCACATTGATTGATTGTTTGGGGGATTGCGCAAATAGTACCACTCAGTTTGCACCCCAATCAGAAAGTAATAAAGTTTTCTGTTGCACGAGAATAATAAAGAGTAAAATATATGATATGTGATAAAACACTGGCAGGTTCACCCATTTGCATAAGGACCTACAACAGTATTTAACATACTGCATGAATTGGAGGAGTCTATCCATTCAACACCTTTTGAACAAAGCTGACAGTGAGCCAAGTTATTTACATCACGGGCATCATTTACTCGGCCTCAAAAAATAACTTACAACTTAATTGTGCTTGTAAAAATTGAGCCACAGGAGCATAACCTCCTACAACCGCGGAATGGAACAATTCAATATTCCGGACCGGAAACAAGTAAGCACTATACCTTGCGATTAATATCGAAAAGCGGCGATGTCCACTCTAAAATTCTGGTTATTAAAATCCTATGATCAATAATTATTATATGAGTAGGTATTATCGGTATTTGGCAGAAACGCCGATCGTGGTGACACCGACTTTCACTGTTTGTTTACGTTTCCATAAAGGCGCGGGAAATGCGCGGTGGGGGTGGGGGTGGGGAGGAGGAGAGGGGTAGGGGACGCGGCACGGCAAAGGGGGAGAGCAATAATTACGGCATACTCACCGACATAGCGTGGTCGCGGGATGTGATTCTTTCCTGGGGTAGGCAATCCCGCCTCGCTTGTCCAGGATGTGATCCTTTGGGGATGCTTCCCGTCCCGTGCATCGTTGTGTGGCTCCAGGCGGCAACCAAAGGGAAGTGCCATGTCACAATAATGAAATGATCTGGATAATAAACTATTATGGGCGATTTGCTATTAATAATTAGGGAGGCTCGGCGCCTGCGAGACTCCGGGTAGGCTATCCCGCAATACACGCAAGCTCTACAAGCAAGATGTTGCCTACCTATACGGCGCTATGAGACCGCTGAACTTGGCAATCTCCCCGCCCCCCCATACCGCGCCCGGCACTTAGGAAAGTGACCCACCCATCGCAGATCCGAGAGCCGTGGCACACTACAGCCGATCCACGGCGTGGCGCGAACCAAGACTTGTTCAAAAATAAGATTATTTACTTATGTTAGTGAAATAGCGTAAGTTATTTCATTAGCCCTTTTCCAAGCCCGGAACTGCAGTTAGGCACTTCGTTTGCCCTCCAGATGGTATCTGTACCTGATTTAGCTCTTAATTCAACAACTGCCACTAAATGAAATAACATAATGTAATTAACTACTTTACTCATTTTACTTACTATAGATAGATAAATTAAGTTCGGACAAACGATCTTCGGACAATTAGCCGTCTCGTATGCCCCGACTATCCGACAGCATAATCTCATAAATTGTCGTTTTAATAGAATAAGAGAGATGACGTAATAAGGAATATGACTCGTTCCGACTCTGTGGCAATATTAGTTGTCAGAGAGTCGGGGTGTGCCCCCTTTTTTGAGAAATGGACGCAGTGAACAAGCAATCAAAGTCATTCTTTACTTATAAACAAACACAAGAAACTTCCCGACTAAAAGATTTCAGAAAGTTCCAACTTTTATAGACATGTGTATTTCTTTCCATGTTAGTGCTAAAGACTATAAAACATACAATGAAACACTTGAATTCTATGAGAATTTCAAATAGAATATAAGAAAATAGCAAACATTTTTTTTTTTCAGGTTACTTTAAATTAATATTAGGCAGAGTACTGCAGTCAAATATTATCAAGATCCTTACAAATAAATACATTAAATGGTAACAAAACATTCATAACAATTATGAATTAGGTAAGTAGTTTATATATTGAACATCAAAGAATAGTATCCAACGCTTGTAATAATTATTTTACATTTGGAGTTATAGAATTCGGCAAAAAAAGAAGACCAGACTAAATAGTTTGGTCAGCTTCAAAAATATTCAAGCGCAACAACAGGGAGTACAGTAAGACAATGAAGATCATGCAAATTCATAGAAACACTCTTCACACTGTTTTTCTTCCTTGCATCAACAGGTTAAACAGCACATTAAAAGTATGGATGTAAAATACGTAGGAACTGACTCAAAAAACTTTTTGAAAGCTTGAGGACTGATAATACAGGGCTGAAAATAGAGTAGAATTTGCTTGTATTTCTTGATGACATTATTATTTTAATACAACAGAAAGCCATAGTATGCATTACAAGAGGACGGACAAAACTGTTCCCATACACGCACAACTAGAACTTAGTTCTTTTAACAAAGTACTGTAGTTTTACTCTGAATCAAAATTTGTTAGTATATCTTCATTCATTATTTCTTCTAGGCCAGTACGTACCCTACTGTACCATAGTAAATTAAGCTCTGCCATTTTATCCTACAGTAGAATAAAAAATATTTTAACTCCTAGGCAGAAAACAGAAACAGAATTATAGTGCAACAGATAAAAGTTAAATAGATGATCAAACAAAAGCAACTTTTGCTACGAGTGCTTCCCAGACCTTTACTACATCTATAGTTCTGTTTCAGCCTAGCAGTCTCAATCCTCTAGAAATACTGCCTCAAGCTCATCATAGTAAATTGTCAACTGAGTCTGACTTACAGACCTTAGTAGGAAGAGTTTTTAAGAAAGCAAACCAACCATGCTTTGAGAGTGCAGGAGATTTAAAACAATCAGATTTGTCTAACTGCGAAGAGCAGAGAGGCGCTCTTTCATTTCTTCTAAATCTTCTTCCTCTTCACTTTCTAGTCCAGCTGATGAAGGTCCTGCTTCATCTGCAAGAGAAGACTCCGGTGCTGTTGATGGGAGAGAATCAGTGACAGCAGATGGAGCCTTGCCAAGTTCACCTTGAGTAAGTTCCCATAGCACCTGTTAAGAAAGAAAGATATAAAATTTGATATTGCATGTCATGGAGAAAACATTCAAAACTGAACATTTAGGTCACCTTATCAATTTCATCCTGTGCTTCTTCTTCCATTTCCTCTGAGTCTTCCATCTCAGACATTGTTTCATCTAACATTTCTTCAATAATACCAGCCTGTTAGATAAAATAAGAAAACACAAAGTAATAATAGAATAAAATATATTAAAATTAAATTAAAGCTTTACTGAGGGGTCAATACCTTCATCATTTCCTTTGAAAGTTCCCTCATGGTGGCAGCAACCTCTGGTACCCGAATCAAGGTTTGCATTGCTGCCATGACTTCTGTTGATTTCTTTAAAGAACCAGCAACTCTTAAGGTAGCTTTCAAGAAAGAAAATTTTAACATGAATATATAAAGAGATTAGATATAAAATTTATACATACATACAAAAATAAAGAAAAGCTACCTACCAAGCTGATTTTTCATTTGCATCTGAACAGAACTAATGTGTGTTTTACTTGTATATATTTTGGTAATTGCTTTTCGTGCGTGTACAATATCTTTTGCCAAAATCACACACACATCTTTTTCCCCTTTTTTAGCAGCTTCCTTTAATGATTTCTTAATTTTGTCTTCTTCTCGTTGAATAGCTGAGAATGGTAAGAGTTGCTTTAGTAACAACAAACTGAAACATGAATGTCGTAGAGAAAATCTTTTCTAGGTTTATAAATGTTGACATTATGTATATCTGAAATATTCAACTGTCACCTCTTATTTGACGTTCAAGTTGGCTGCTTTCTTTCCTGAGTTTTCTACACCATTCATTAACCTGAGGAGCAAAATGTATGAGATGGGGTCAACCAAAAAAAGGCCAACAGTCCAGTTGAGACCGCACAAAAAAACTTAAAAGGGCACAATTCAGTTTGCTGGGAATTTTTCAAAGATAATTGTTTTATAAACTGTTCTGTCTTTATAACAACTGATTGCGCTCATTGAGGCTTGAATCGGAACACTGAACTTTTTGTAATAACATAGTACAAAGAAAAATACTCACAAAAAAGAGAAAATAAAAGGATTGAAACGTACTTCTTTTTACCTTAAAATGATACACTAGATATAAATAGTGACAGTATATATTTTAACAATATAATTATTAATAATACTGTACTAGAGGTTAGGATGTGAATTTCTTATCTTATCAAGACGACAGAGCAGCAGACAAAAACCTCGGCACCGTCAGAGATTTGAACAAGTCTGAGTTAGAAACACGTATCGAAATGTGTAATCACCTGTTCTTTTGGATTTCTTTCTGGCGTTTTCCCGAAAAGCCCCATGTTTGACGCTTGTATTTTGTATTTTGACAATCACATGAAAACAAAAAACATATGAAAGCAGGGATGTTAGACGGCTCCCAGCGTATTATCGTACCAACCTTCCGAAATTATCGTACGCAGGGTCAAAATTATCGTACATTTCCAAAAAATTACAATTTTGGCCCAAATAAGGGAAAATTTACATTTTAACAGTATAATAAGTGTTTCTATGTAGCCAAAAGGTCGCTA